ACGGCGAATCGGATGTAAAACTGCGCGCGGCTCCTTCATAACGACAAATTGCGATGACAAATGGCCTGTACAGGCCTGCCTCTACAGACTAGGATTATCGTTCTAGTTTTCTGTCGTTGATGCCACGGTACCTGCAAACAGACTCAGATGCGAACAACTACGAAAAGTACATGTCAGCGTGGGAACGCCAATACACGTCGGTGCTCTCCGATTGCGCTCTGATGGCATGGCCGCTGGAAGCAGTGATGGTCGACGATACTGCGAGTTCCGATTCACGACCGGAAGCTGATCACTGCTCGGCCACCGCGGATCGTTTTTACATGGGACCGTTCCTCAGCATGTTGTTCGACAAAGTCAGCAACATGCCCAGACAGACGTACGAGGTCAATCTGGAGGTTACGGGATTGCTGTCCAGGTAATGATAACCATCCGCGAATAGAGTCACCGTCTCGAAAGTCTTGAGAAATTTTCGGATATCTATACAAATAATGCAGACACAGTGTACGTAACATTGATTATAATATTGCTCGATAATGCTTGATTTCTTCTGCGAGACTTGCACAATAGTTAAAAAACTTTCTAGACAGACTTTGCGCGCGATTCTTACTTTTGCACGCGAAGTGTTCAAAGTAGCTTGAGACTTTCGTCGTGTATGTATAGACGTGTGTGAATTCGTCTGTCTCTTGAATCAATCGCTATCTCCAGGCTGGCGCTACTGCCACATCCATATTTGCACGAGTTCCTGTTGAATCCCTTACTACCCCTGATACCCGGCACGAAGAGTCTGTTCCTCTGCCTACAGAGGGTCGTCAAGCAGCTCGTCGGCGAGATACCGAAGACTCAGGAAAGCAAGACGAGGTTGAAAGAGACGAGAGAGAGACTACTGAGTGACTGTTCTCAAGAGTGAGTTGAGATTTCGGAGATTTATCGTACTCTACATATTACTAGAAAATCCAGATAGAAACACTTGAAAAGGGGGGGAAAAGAAAAGATAAAACTCACACGTGCGTTTGGGACCTCATGTTGGGAGAAAACCAGAGAAAACGAAAGAGTTGGCGTAGCAGCGGAAGAATCTTATATTTCGAGTGGCTTTATGCTTCATTATTGCGTTGAGAAATTTATTTTTGTATCTTTCTTTCTTTTTTTACTATATTAGCGCCCGTATCATGCGAGTCGGACAATTTGCTCGAATTCAATTTTTTCCGTTGCACGTTCGTAAAATGATATTTATTTCATGTATCTATATTTCACGATATTTATATGTTTCAGGGAGAAGGAAGATATTTTATACGAGAGTGCCATTGTGATGGAAGAGTTTTGCAAAGATCTCGCAGCCATAGCTTATATGAAATATCACCATTCTATCTGATAAATTTTTACATACAAGAAAAACGTGTAAATTATAAAAGTTGATATATCGTCGAAGACGCGTACAATTTTACTCGTCGCTTTAGATATGTTTAGATAATACACCGTAATTGTGATGACTTTGTAAAATATTAAATATTATGCAAATATACATGAGAGAGAGAGAGAGAGAGAGGAAGAAAAAGGTACATGTATTACGAGATCTTACGTAAAAATAATGTTTTACTCGAAAGCATCGACTTCTTTATTACGTATGTGCAAACTGCCGTGCGACCTTTTTACATGGAAATTATATAATATCAAAACCAAATTGTACCTTTGTTCTAATTGCTAGCTAGTAAAAGCAGAGAACTATCGATGGTTGAGTCATTTTCAATTGATATGTTTCCCCTGCTACCTATAGCTAGCTAAAAAGAAAAGAAAGGATATTCTGCCGCACCAAGGAGACATGGGGTGCCCATTCTTTTCCTGAATGCATGTAAATTCATACTAATGATCAAGATATTGGGTGCATTCAGTACTACGAGCGCTCAATGAGCTTTTACATTTTATTGGTATATTCCTTTAGATTTAAAAATATACACCAATTAGATGCAAGAGCTCACTCAGCGCTCAGTGAGCGATTGTAGTACTGAATGCACCCATCGGATAATGTTAACGGCTGCATTCAGCAGACTCAACAGTTGGACAACATTACTAGATTTTCCACTGAATCTCGCTCCTGATTGGTAAATATTTCTGGGTCTATGAAGAATCTAAAAGAATGCTCCAATCACAGACAATAATCACTAAGCGCTCTCTGATCACTTTGTTCTACTGAACGCGGCCAATGTGTAGCCATGTCGCGTGAAGTCAAGCCAGCAGGGGCACAGTGCTAGTTTTCATGCTGGATTGCTTGTTGGATGAAAGTACTGCGTTCTGATTGGTGCATTTCTATCCGTCTTCGGAAATGTACTAATCAGAACGCGGTATTTTCATCCAGCACGGAAACAAGCACTTTGTGCCGCTGGCTTTATAATGGCATAGTTGGTATAAACAGTCGGTATCATCATTGCTGTTCAAATTACATGCCAGCCCCCCGAGGCCCCCTTGCCGATACGAAAATTTACCCAGGACTGATGGTCTTTACCGTCTTTATGCTCTATTACCTCGTCGGTGGTAATAATGAATATCACTCTTCAAAACTGTCGTATAAAGTGCATTAAATAGTCAAAACTTTTTGATAATCGCTTTGTCTTCGTACTCTCAATTTTTCCCTCGTACAAATTCTGTACGGCTAACGATTTCTTTCATTGTATAAAAGAATTAAACATTCTTCTATTGGACACCAGAACATCGGAAGTGGGAGCTGAATTGCTCCGTTACATTGTAGCGTTTGATTAACGTAGTCTCGCATCCGGAAAGAAGGCCGAGGCGAGCAGCGCACCCAGAGCCCAGACCCAGACTCCAGAGCACCCCAGAGACGGGACGCTTGGAAGATGACAGCGGTTGCGATGATTTCGCCCGCGTCTCAGGGTATAATCCAGGTTGTGAATGAGAATAATCTAAATAAAATAGCAAGGTATTTATATTCTTTAGTATTATTTCGTCGCAAGTGTAACTATTACGTTGGAATAGGGAGCAGTCAAAAATAATTATTGATCCGTCTGCAGCTTTCTCAACGACACTGCTTACAGAGAAGCCATTGAAAACTCGTCTAATTACAATAGTCGATTATGTCGAGAACGACGTCTTCGTATGCCTTTCCTTGACTCACAGACAGGTAAAAATATTATACTTCAAATTGTGGATAATGCCATATGAGAATTGTATAATCAAAATTCGCACAAGCGCCAATTAAGAACTAATATTATTAATGCCCATTAGTCAAGTGTAGCGTGTGCGCCGACATGGTAATAATAATAAATAGTTATCTGTGTTGAATATAAAAGGTGAAATCAGCATTGTAAGTGACACTCGGTTCGTTTTTGGTGAAATAAGATTAGAGTATTTTTTCTTTTCTTTCTTTTTTCTTTGCTTTTTGTTTCAAGATGCTTGTAATTTCATCTTGGCAATTGTAATTTGCATTTTAGTCGTGATACCAGCTATGTCAAATGTCACATATTTGATTAAATTGGAAGGTTTAGTTGCACCAATGATAAGGCTTAGATAATTTTGCATCAGCGATATATTGTTTCTTTCTGTCGAAAGAGAAAGAAAATTTGATGAGACTGTCAAACTTCATCAAGTATACAATCTGTTGTTGATGCAAAAGTTTAACAAACAAGTTTTTATATGCCACACAAATTAATGATAATTGATGAGACTGTCAAACTTCATCAAGTGTACAATCTGTTGTTGTTGCAAAAGTTTAACAAACAAGTTTTTATATGCCACACAAATTAATGATAATTAATTATATATTGATTATGCTCGATACACCATAAGTTATAATAATAAAAAAAATTAATAACTGCAGGTGTCTTAAAACATGTGAGCTTATGCAATATTACAGGTGTTGCGCAAAATCATTCTGCACTATTTATGTCTTCGAGAGAGAGATTACCAGGTTTATTACACGGTCAGATTTATACCTATCCGAGCAAGCGATGGCGAAAAAGACGACGCCAATATTTAATGCACTACTTACATCCAAAACGAGGACCAAGAGGCGATACAGAGGATGGAGTAGAAGGTGTTGAGACTGTTACGCATGTAAATGATGATAGCAAAGATTCAGTAGCGCTTAAAGGTAAAACAGAATATTGAGTTGTAATCTAAGAAGATTTCTATTTTAATTATTTATGTTACTATGAGAGTTATTATATATATTGTATGTTGATCTCCTTTGTAAGTAAAACTAGTCCTTTCAGACGAACACAGTAAAGATGCTTGGTATTATGATGAGCAAGATATGCTGGATATGGATGCTTATGAAGAACCCGATCCTGATAGCGATTATGATTACGAAGAAAGCTATAGCAGTAAAAGAAAACGAAGGAAAACTCGTGGAGGTGGTCATCATCCAGCCCGTAGTCATCCACCTTCCACGGATAGTCCAGGAGGTAAACGTTCAAAGGTAAGTTTCAAGCAGTTCATTAATTTGTTTATATGACAGATATTTTCAATATAAAGGGTATGTGTACGCGCGCGCGCGCGTAGCGTGTGTGTGTGTGTGTGTGTGTGTATCATATAATAAATTTACATATATTAAGACAATAATGTATCATCTCTGTGTGGCTATTGTACATGGAATTGCGTGAATGTAATTGAATTAATTAATCTGAAAATTAAATGGATAAATGTATGAGTAACAAGATTTTTTTGTAATACAGGGTGGGGGCCGTGGGCGCAAAAAGACCAACTATGATTCCGTCGACTCTGATAAGCCATTCGTTTGTGACCGTAAGTTTAATCATAGATACAACTACAAATGACTATTTCCTGTTATTAGTTTATTATAAATATTATTACTATTATTATTATTGTTGTTATCATTATTATTATCATTATTATTACCATTACTACCACTACTATACTACTGCTACTGTTACTACTACTACTATTACTACCACTACTACTACTACCACCACTACCATTACTACTATTATTATTTTGCACATTTATTATTTCAAATAAGATAAACACATAAATTTTTTTGTTGCAAAATTTGTTAATTTTATTACACGTTTATATATTTACATAATGTTCACGTATATTACAACATGATACCAAAAACTAGATTATGATATTGGAAGTACAAGACAGAAGCTCGAAATAAATTGTCAAATATTCAATTGTTGAATACTGCATAATCTTGTATCAGGTAATAGTTATTCGGATAAATGAAACGAGAGCGATACGACCTGCTGGAAATCGTCTCCTAATCTTGTCTTTCTGCGTTAATAATAATGCTTGATATCGTTTGTTTAGAGAAAGAAAGTATGTGTGTGTGTGTGTGTGTGTGTGTATATGTATGTATGTGTACATATATATACATACATAACTATATATATTTTATATATATATATATATATATATATATATATATATATATATCAGTATTGGACTGTAAGCACAATTTTTCTTTCTTTTTTTTTTTCTTTTCCTTTTTACTCGTTTCTTTTTTCCGAATTTAAGTTGAAGTGGTCTATATACAAGTTTGAGTATAAGAATTTCCTGACATCGCGAGCCCGTATATTCTCTTGTATTTCGCTTTCTTTTCTTTAATCAACTATGGGCAGCTATGGTATGGTTTTAAGTACAAGGCAAACATAGTCGTATCTTTCAAATGTCCAAAATTTTGTACATGAATAGCATATATATACACACTATTCACATCTACTGCTCCTCTCTCCAAACATATCTCTACATGTATTAATTTGGTTAAAAATCATCAGAAGATGAGCAAAAGACGAAATGATGCGAAGAATAACATTTTAAGCGATTACGTTAGTATTGTGCTAAAGTCACGAATTTGGCACATGGCAGCCTAATTCAACTTTAACATTTTGCCATTTGACTATTTGTGAATAAACGCTTGAACTTAGCATTTGCATTCTTAACATTGAAATTGTCGCGACAAACGATTTGTATCAATAAAGCTACTAATTTTTGCACTTGAGAAAAACGTATCAGTATTATATAAGATTGTTTTCACTGGTTGAAAGAAGGGCTCATCAGTATACTCGTTTTGCGAAAATTTATGAAACCGAATAGCATATATAGCACGAGTAAACAGAAGAAATAGTCGAAATATCTGTGAAATTTGAACACACTTGAATATTACTTTCTCAAAGGAGTACAATAGTCATTGTGTGTACACAGACACATACGCATTTACACATGCACAATATATACATATATGTATATGTATATATATATATATATATATATATATATAAACATTTTGTGTGTGTGTGTGTGTGTGTGTGTATGTGGCGTGCGTGCGTGCGTGTGTGTGTGTGTGTGTGTGTGTGTGCATATGATATGTATGTATATAAATATAAATCATATACACATACACACATACACACTCTAACTCGACAAACTTTCCCGAACGCGAAGTCTATAAATTAACTCGAATGTGCCTGCAATTTGTTTACCATCTTAAAACCACTCCCGTTAGACTAGCAGAGAATCTAAAGGCATTTGGTCTGGTTGTACATAAAGCTTATGTTAAAGGCATAATTCTGTGTTAGAACGCGCAAAACACTCAGTTCATTGACAATCATAGCTAATGTCACTAGCCCAAATATCTTTAGACTGGTTCTACCTGCCAATAACAGAGCAAGAATGTACTGGCTCACACTGTAGCGAGCTCATTCTGTAGGAGTATACAAGCATCAAGCCTTGCATCGTATTAGTTTTGCTTCTTGGGCTGGAACTCCTTCACTGCTTGTCCACATAGAATCGTAGGTGGATAGGGATGTGTACTGATACGGAAGGTGTGCAAGTGCTACCCCTGACCCCTTGTCAGCTTTTCTGTCCCATATCTCCTTGAACGCCCGTTTAAACAGAGAACCGTCTTCTCATGGACGTTGCATTGGATGGATTGCGGGAAAACAGTATTTGCACTTTTGCAGTATGCAGCGCACGGTATAAGACCAGACCTGGTCTGGTCTACCATTACGGTCATTCCCACTCTACTTCCTCCGGTGATCCTGCTAAGGAACTAAGTCCCAGTCCTGCCGAAGTTGAACCTAGGAGTGTTGCAGACACCACTGCTTCGAACCAGCCAGGTTGGAGCCAAAATCAGCTCAGTTTTCTCACTTTCCTTTAAGTCCGCGTTCCTACCCCGATTCCAATATTTTCGGCTCCCCACTTTTCGTCGTTTTCTTTAATCTTGTCCTGGTCGTGCAACTACTTATCCGAGAAGTTTTCCCAATATAAATTGTGTATATGTATATATATATATATATATATATATATATATATGTATGTATATATATATATGTATATATATATATGTATATATATATACACATACATGCACGCGTGCATGTATACACACATATATACCCTCACGCACGTGTGTACACGTATGCACGCGCGCGCGCGCACATATACACATGTATGTATATGTATATGTGTATATATATATATATATATATATATAAACATCTTTTTCTTTTTATGTATTGCAAATGCATGCATTGCAAATAAGGCAATCGTGAAATTTTCTTTCTAATTTATATTCCGAAATGTATGAATATGAAATTTATATATCTCTTTAACTTTTCATTGTATATTGACAAGTTGATTGTATATCATATAGATAAACGGTATCTGAGCCAGTATGATATACATGATTTTCTTTTGTATCTTAATTAATGTGGTTAAATATATATATTGTATGAATATTATTTTATATTTTATGCATATCAAATAATGAATATGATTATTATTTTTAAGATAAGAAGACACTCGTAATTTTGTTTGCATCTGTTTTGCAATAGCATGCTTCTGCAATATAGCGTTTTGAAGTAATTTTTTAAATATATAGTTATAGATACATGTGTAAAAAAAATAGAGAGGTAGGAAGAGCGAGTGAGCGAGAGAGAGAGAGAGAGAGAGAGAGAGAGAGAGAGAGAGAGAGAGAGAGAGAGAGAGAGAGAGAGAGAGAGAGAGAGAGAGAGAGAGAGAGTATGTGTGTGTGTATATGTGTGTGTCTCAATAGGCTATATCAAATCTTGTAGGTGGATTACGACTTGGACGCCGTAACTCATGAGTATTTTCGATGTGCGTTTTTATTTATTTGTTTATTCCTTACATGTATCAGTAGTAGCTCCCCTCATACTTTACTTTGGCATGAATATAGTTGTTACGAATGAATCTAACAACGTAAAATTTTCTTTCTTTTGCTACTTTGACGCTTATATTACTCCTAGAGCGATTCTTGCTTCGATTCTTCTATTAATGAATGTTGAAGCTTCCTTGAATCAAATATGTATCTTTAAAATGATTGTAGTTTCAATATGTTTGAAACGTCGTTTGATTGTCTGTCTCTGTACTTGGAACCAGTGTGTGCGTACATGTGTGTCTGTGTGTGTGTGCGTGTGCGTACGTGTGTGTCTGTGTGTGTATGTGCGCGTGCGTGCGTGTGTGTGTGTGCCTGTGTGTATGCTGTGTGTGTGCGCGAGCGTACGTGTGTGTAATATATATGTGTACATATATATATATATATATATATATATACACACACATATACATACATACATACATATATATCTGTATATATGTGTGTGCGTGTGTGTGCACACGCGCACACACACACACATATGAACACGCACACACGCACGCACACATATCATCGTTATTTCTTGGACTTGCTGCTGGTGATGGAATGTACCGATTGACATATGCACTTTGTTATACCCATGTATAATTAGATTTGTTTCTCTTTGTGGTAACAATTCGTTAAATAATGTGACGTTAATGATAATTGATTCCATTATTCCGAAAAATGCAACAATAATAAAATGGGCTTTTTACATGTAAATATTGCACACGATGCTCTGGACGCATATAAACGACGATACACACGACGATCTGGATGCATATAAACAAGTATCTGAAGTATATCGTCACTGTGTGTATACTTTATTCGAAATGTCTTGACAAAATGTTTTTATACGCAATATTGTGCCACTCCTTGCCAATTTCTTTTGTTTCTCGCAATGTTCACTATAAATGATCAATTTTTCACATTAAATATCTTCACGATGATGCGCGCGCGCGCGAGTCAAGTTTCGACTAGAGTTTGTCTAAAATCGCAATGGTAATTTGAGGTTTTGTACGTAAGAGATACCAAGTAAAAGCTAGTTTGTGTGTCGAAATTTAGTCTTTAGTCTCGAATTGTTTGTTGTAACTTAGGACTCGTTTGCCGCGGCAACTGATTGTTTGTGGGAACTTGTGAATGAAATTGCTCATAAGTAGGCTCGGAATCACGTGAAATTTGTCACGAAACATTTGCGGCCCTTGCGTATCATGTTGCGTAACCGAATCAATTATCAACGGACGTTCACAGAAAGAGAAAAGAATCGAATACAATGATTGTCTATATGAAAACGATGTGCATGGTCATCAGCTTGTGACGCAAAGCGCAACTGGGTATGTGATCGATTTGTGATCAGGTGGTACGCGTCGGGGTCGTCAGAACGCTACTTCCTCGAGTACCTCGAGTCCCTCTCCGGCGACACCGGCCGCCCTTGGTACGACGGGGGCTGCGGCACAACCACAGCAACTACCTCCGGTGCAGACGCCCGTTGCTCCAGCCTCGCCTACCGTTCCGACGCCTAAGGAAGACCACTTGCCGGCTGCCTCCTCACCCGGCACGGCCGTGCCATCGCCGTCGTCTGTACGTGCGACGGAAAGCACGGGAGGATGTGCTGGTGTGGCAGGAGCGGTCGGAGCAGCGACAGCGTCAGCAGGAGCCGGAGGGGTAACAGGAGGTGGAGGTACTGGAACAGGAAGTACCGGAGCAGGAGGGGCGGCAGGAGGAGGAGGAGGAGGAGGAGGAGGAGGAGGAGGAGGAGGAGGAGGAGCAGGAGCAGGAGGAACAGGAGCAGGTGGATCACCTACCCCTGGTCCGACGGAGAAGAAAGCCAGCGGCAAGTCGTCAGCGGCGCAGCCGTCCCCTTATTGTGACTTCTGCCTGGGTGATGCGAGAGAAAACAAAAAGACTGGCGGCTCGGAGGAGTTGGTCTCGTGCAGCGATTGCGGCCGCTCAGGTAAGCCAGAGGAAAAGATCAAGCGCAAGTATACCCGGAGAGCGAATCACAATTAAAATTGTGCCGCGTCGTCGGCGAGTGCGACTTCCAAAAACAGTGATGGTAATAATCATGACGAAAATGGTATAGTATGGTATGATATGATGTGGTATGGTATGGTGTGGTGCGATGTGGTGTGGTATAGTATGGTATGATATGACATATGATACGATATAGTATGGTATGGTGTGGTATGATATGATATGATATATGATATATGATATATGATATATGATATGATACACTAGCGATGATGTTGGCGGTGATGACGGTGGTTAGCGGTGGTGATGGTGGTGGTGATGGTAATGGTGATAATAATGATGATGATGATGATGATGATGATAATGATGATGATGATCGACGACGACGACGACGACGACGACGACGATGAGGAGGATGATGATGACGACGACGACGACGACGACGACGACGACGACGACGATAACGAGAATGATAATGATAATGATGAAGATGACGATAGCGAGGAAGATGATAACGATCGATAATGGTGATGATTATGATTATAATGATAACAATGACGACGACGACGACAGTGATGGGTAGTGGTGGTGGTGGTGGAGTAATCATGTAGTCACGTATTATTCGTTGAATAACATACTTTGGATCGATGAGAGCTGTTTATTCCTCTCGAACGGTTCATTTTCTACATCTCTTTACAAGTCTCTACCGCAACGTTCTGGGATATATAGCCTAGCCAGATACAACTGAGAAAATGAAAAGTGAGAATTCAGTTGTTCGCAATGTTTGAGCACGCTTCCGATCGAGATGTCTTGAAGTGCGAGACACGAGTTATACGAGACTAGCGATTACTTAGCAGTACGATGGTTTAGTGCAATTCAATGTTGATATCTGAGCGTTATGGAGAATATTGGGTACATGTATGCGTTTGCGCTACCGAAGGATCTTTAGAGCCGATTTGCTTGCGAGATAAGATATTTGTTTATGCTTCCATATTTCGGCTGTTAATACCAGGAACGAATAGCATTTCGTTAATTTTGCGACGAGCAAACATGCATGCCCTTTTTTATAAAAATAGTGAGACATGCTCCTCTCCATTTACGTTTACATTTATTCCAACGTATTTACGATTGTTGAATACACAATTGAAATATTTAGACATACTCAGTTACGTTTGTATAATTTGAAATTTTCACCTTTTCGTTAATGCATATGCACAAGACGAGCCATTTACACACGTATGTATATACGTGTGTGTGTGTGTGTGTGTGTGTGTGTGTGTGTGTGTGTGTGTGTGTGTGTGTGTGTGTGTGTGTGTGGTGTGTGTGTGTGTGTGTGTGTGTTGTGTGTGTTTGTGTGTGTGTGTGTGTTGTGTGTGTGTGTGTGTGTGTGTGTGTGTGTGTGTGTGTGTGTGTGTGTGTGTGTGTGTGTGTGTGTGTGTGTGTGTGTGTGTGTGTGTGTGTGTGTGTGTGTGTGTGTGTGTGTGTGTGTGTGTGTGTGTGTGTGTGTGTGTGTGTGTGTGTGTGTGTGTGTGTGTGTGTGTGTGTGTGTGTGTGTGTGTGTTGTGTGTGTGTGGTGTGTGTGTGTGTGTGTGTGTGTGTGTGTGTGTGTGTGTGTGTGTGTGTGTGTGTGTGTGTGTGTGTGTGTGTGTGTGTGTGTGGTGTGTGTGTGTGTGTGTGTGTGTGTGTGTGTGTGTGTGTGTGTGTGTGTGTGTGTGTGTGGTGTGTGTGTGTGTGTGTGTGTGTGTGTGTGTGTGTGTGTGTGTGTGTGTGTGTGTGTGTGTGTGTGTGTGTGTGTGTGTGTGTGTGTGTGTGTGTGTGTGTGTGTGTGTGTGTGTGTGTGTGTGTGTGTGTGTGTGTGTGTGTGTGTGTGTGTGTGTGTGTGTGTGGTGTGTGTGTGTGTGTGTGTGTGTGTGTGTGGTGTGTGTGTGTGTGTGTGTGTGTGTGTACATACACATATACACATATAGTAAATATTTAGAAACGTTGCAATGGCGTCGCGTGCATATACCGCATTACACGTGTTTTTAAGTTGTTAAAATGAAGAGGAGATGATGTTTTTGAATTGTATAGAATTACAGTCGTCGTGTGACAAATCTTTTCGTCACTGCCGCCAAGAATAATAGAAACGTACTGTTGATTAATTAGGTGCAATAGTTAAGATAACCATTCAATTCTTTGCACAGCTTAGATCAAACGGTTACGAGCTTTACATACACTAGTCAAGGCAAGGAACACAAAACATCGTTTTGTCAATGGTGCAACTTGTCGCATCTGAGTAATAGGAATTTTCAGAAATTCCTTTACTATGTAAATTTGCTGTGATTTATAGTATTTCAATGATTAGTTTTAAGATTAAGTAAATTGGTACGCGCGTAATACGAATGAGAAAGGCACGAAACATTAAGATCCGTATCGGTGTTGAACTAAAATTTCATCGTGTGTGTGTGTGCATGCGTGTGTGCATACGCTCTCTCACACACGCATACACACATACGTGATATATATATATATATATCAATGATTAATCGACAATTGTTAATTTTCATGTAAAATTACGCAAATTTGTTGAAATTCCTGTTGCACAGTACCACTAGAGCACGTATTGAGGAAGATGTATTTGTCTTCCGTTTGACAGTGTATCATAATATTTACGTTATTATGTTAGAAATCAAAATGAAAGAAAAAATGAAAAAGAAAGAAAGACCAGATATATCCGATGTGAAAAATGCATTGTCGGGTTTTGAAGGAAAATTTTAGATACGAAATGTGTGCGTGTGTGTGTGTGTGTGTGTGTGCGCGTGTGTGTGTGTGTGTGCGCGTGTGTGTACGTACATGTACATACATGCACACTTTATATACAACCCCAGCACAATCATGAATCGTTTTAACGGAAATAACATATTTATTGTAAGATAAAGTGTTGATCGATGAGTCTTCGATATTTCTATGTTTTTTGAACGCTTGTAAATATTTTGTATCTTTGCGTTTGTTGAGTAATACGAGTTTTATAGATGACGCAAGCGGAGAGCACAGTACAGAAAGGACAATGACAGAGTTGCAGTTTTAGAGATCTCAGTATCTTTCGCGATTTGAACGAGAACTCGGTCTCGAAAAATTGACTCGATAATGATTATCGATTACCGCTGGTCTATTGTCCACCAGCAAAAATTCCGCTGATATTTATTCAACATTTTTAATTTATATACAGTATATATCGATATATGATTCAGTTACAGTTCGAAAAAATAATTCGTGTCTCGGGCGATTTCGGTGAGATAATAAGAAAGAGGGGGAGAGAGACGAAAAAATGAGAGATGTTTATTTTGCTATATTGGATTACACACGCGCACGTGTGTTGTTTTTACGGCTATTAACAATCTCATCCCTTCACGCGCGAAATGGAGTTTGTTCTTCAAGTTCTCTAAGTATTTCCGATTAACGCGTGTAATAGAATAGGGTCGGGTAGTTTCACAGATGTGCACCGCGGGATACTTGTTAATTCCTTTCTAATATATCTCACATTCCATCGTATCTGCTGCTCTTGATTACTTTCACTTTCGGGCATTAGCTTCTCCGACTTTTATTTTCTTTTCTTTTCTTTTCTTTTTCTCTTTTCCCTTACATGTATAATCGCGTCTTATCTCTACCGTCGTACCGTCACATTTATAATAACATATATATTTATTGCACGTTTAACGCAAGGAAGAGGAAGAAGAAGAAGAGGAAGAGGAAGATATATACGAGATAACTATATTTACAGAGCATAAAGAAAAGTGAGAAAAACAATTCTTTCAATTCACTATCAAATGTTTCAGTTGTACACCTCTTTAACGATGCGTCACACACTTTAACGTGCGAACACATCGCGCGCGTGTGTGTGTGTGTGTGTGTGTGTGTGTGTGTATGTGTGTGTGTGAGACTATATATCTTCTCTCGTAGAAATCTGACATAGCCTAGTTTTGTACAAGTTTTGATACTCGTACAAATATCATTTGATTAGGAATAACGAAACGGTATGTCGGAATTAGTGTAATACCTTCTGAGTTTTTCGGTTATGGGGAGCAAGATATGACGTTAAATTGAATTTCGATTCGGTCAAATTCAGATGATTTTGTATGTTTTGCTTTCGTATATATGTGTATAGAGCTACCATGCAGCATCGCGATTCTGTGCGCGCATAGATCACTCTACGCTTTATACGCTACACGAGTTGTTTATTATATTGTATAACTTTTGACTTCCCGTACACATGTAGATGTGTGTATGCAATTCTCGAGAAGTATATTTCGAAGGGATAATTTTCAGGTGACCTTGCAACTGCTCTCTGTTTTCTTTAACCCCTTCCGTAGCAGAGCAAAATTCAGTAAAATGCACTGAAACCGCCCCAAAAAAATGACGGGGCGGATTTTTTCAATAATTTGTATACTTCAGTTTTTTGGTCGCTGAAGCTGAATTTGAGGTCAAAATATAGAAATTCAAAATGGCGGATCGAATATGGCGACTAAAATGTTTAAAAATGCTTAATATTATAAATAAAAGTAATTGGTCATTTCTCAAGTCGCTAAATTAACGATTTTTATATAAAATCGCTCTTAACGCTCTTGCTGCTCGCTGCGAACCGACTCGTTCGCTGCTCGCTCTTCGTCGTACATCCTCTGTCTTTTGGTACTATCGAACACTCGGATTCCTTTAGGCGCTGCGGCCAAACGACGCCGAACGTCGCGCGAAATCCATTGATGACACCGCTGCCCTGTTCTAACGACACCGATCCCTCCATCGGACGCCGCGGTCTCTCCTCAGTTTCTCTCTCTCTCTCTCTCACCCTTTCTCACTCTCACACATCCCGTGTGTGAAAAAAAAATTTTCAATTTTCCGACATTTTAATTTGATTATAGTTTTTTTTTTATTAACAAATTATAAAAAACCAAGTTGAAATTCGTAATCAGCGACCCAAAAAATACTTGATAAAAATTCTACAACAATAATTATTACACTTAAAATTCAATACAACACGAAAATGATCTGGACGCACCAGTGCGTCCGTGCCACGAAAGGGGTTAATTATAGATTGTTAAGATTTGTTTTGAGTTGGTTATAACCTCGTGTTACACCAAGTACTTTCTAATATACATATATTATGTAACTCGCGAGTACGAAAAGTTATCGACAAAGATATGTTACAGCTTCATTACATATAACATGATACATCAAGATAGAATATTCTATCGTTTAATATGGCATAGTTAATAGAGAGGGCAGAATAGAGACGGGATACTGCATATTTTAGTTTCTTGTATAAATTGACATTATATTATCCTTAGATTGTGTCGTGTAAGAAAAACTCACGTGGTATAAAAACAATGGAAGCATGCAGATAGTTCCTCCTTGTTATATATAAAATTGAAGACTTGTTATTAGACAGTTTTAATTAAGCAATACCCAATGAGGCTTAATACAAATATAGTATTTAAGTCACACTTGTTATATATAAATATATATATATATATGTATGTATGTATGTATGTATGTATGTATGTATGTATGTATGTATGTATATGATTCCACACACACATATATATATATATATATATTATATATATATATGATATATATAAAAAATGTGATACGTTATATGAGTTGTGTGTACGTATGCATGATGAAGAAAAGAAAAGAGAAAAAAGACGAATGCGAGAATGAGTGAGTGAGCGAGCGAGCGAGCGAGCAAACGAGCGAGCGAGCGAACAAACGAGCGAATGAATGAGTGAGTGAGTGAGTGAGTGAGTGAGTGAGTGAGTGAGTGAATATGTGAGTGAAATTTGAAAGAAAGGGATGAGGGAGAGTGTGTATCTGCGACGTTTATATTGTGCTGCGCAAGAAAGAACGTGAACTATTCCAAGGTACGCCCTGCTATTACTTACCACCTATTATTCCAAATAATAACAGTATGTTCAAAATACAACATCAAACAAAAAAAAAAGTTACAAATATCACGAAATAAAATATTCTGTGCGGAAACATACGAGGACGTATCATTATTCCGGACGTTTTAGTGCTGAGGAAAGGTGAAAGACATGTCGAGTCGCACTTGTGAACAAAAATGTCATTGTGCTTTTTCTCTCTTACTCTCTGGTGCAATTCGATTTGCGACGTAGTCACGCATCAAAGGATAAATGCAATTTGTCGGAAAAAAGGAAACAAAAAAAAAAGTGAGAAGAAAACGATAGCTTGGAGTTCACTGTTCTTCGGCACAAGATAAATGTCCTGGCACCTTTCTACTCGCATCCCACGACAGATTCCTCATTCCGTCCCAAATACGTGGTCCATGACGTGCGTACGTTCTTGTTATAGGGCATCCAACTTGTTTGCAATTCACTGCAAACATGATCGTTTCTGTTCGCAAGTACAGGTGGCAGTGTATCGAATGCAAATGTTGCTCCATTTGTGGTACTTCTGACAACGATGTAAGTATTTATTTCGCAACTTTTCGCAAGATACGCAAGCGACGCATTTTACACTCGCAAATGGCAAATGAAAAGTCGTACAACTGAAAGTCGCGATATCAGCCCCTCATTTTAATAGCATATTTCATCGTTTATTGATGAAATCGCGAAAATTGAGCCACATAAAAGATGATTGTACGAGAGAGAATCTTTTGCAGTATGTAATATATCTACGTAATATGTATGTTGCTACGAATGATATTCAAAGGTAAATTCGTCGGTCGCCGAGGGATGTAACTCGTATCGGCTTCCACATTGACTTTTCATGAAAATTCACAAGACTCGCTAAAAAAAAGAAAGAAAAAAATTTTTCATGTGTTTGTATAATGCGCTTTGTGAATATGGATTATTTGATTAACGATTTGGCGAACTGAAAATAGGATCAGCTGCTGTTCTGTGACGACTGTGATCGTGGATACCACATGTATTGTCTGTCTCCACCTCTTGCGTCTCCCCCCGAGGGCTCCTGGTCTTGCCGCCTATGCATAGCCGAATTTCATCACCGTGATTAAGTCCATTTTCGTAGATAATTCAACAAATTGTCTACCTCTATGGTGCAGCGCTCGTCTTCGAATTAGGAGAGTATTCACCAACTCACTTTCCTCGTATATCGTACGACACACATCGGCGGAATTTCCCGGGAAAAAAAAAAAGCAAAAAAAAACAAAAAAACGGAAGCCAGCTCCAACTTGATTGCCATTTATCATGAAATTTGCATTGGTCGTTGACTCCATATGTTAAATTATGTTCATAATAACGATGATAATAATAATTAGGAAGATACATTTATATAGCATTATTACATTAGATATCTCAGGCACTGGTGATCTCAACGAGGTAAAGAACTACGTAAGAAAACGTATTTATAATTTTATTGAGATAGCTTCTACTAATATATATATATATATACATATACATATATATATATATATATATATATATATATATATATACATACACACATACACACATATATACATATATACGCGCGTGTGTGTGTGTGCGTATGTGTGTGCATGTGTGTGTGCGCGCGCGCGCGCGCGTGTGTGTGTGTGTGTGTGTATAGATATGTCGTAACTAGGGACGGGATCGTTTGTACTCCAAATATGCCAGTACACACACATACACATCTGTGGTATATTTAAGCCTGTCATGAGTATGTCGCATTGTGACGTGTATAAATACACATACACAAGTATTCCATACATATATGTACATGTGTACATGTATGTATTAATATGTATTGATAACGTGTCGTGTTTACGAGTAAAAAAGATAAAATATCAATTCGAGTATATTTTGTGAGATTTCGATTGCGTTTTGTATCGATATTATTTGTGTACTTGATATATGTATATGTGTACTTGATTATATTAATGATTGTAGCAAGTTTTTTCGAGCGCGCGCGCGTGTGTGTGTGTGTGTGTGTGTATGTGTGTATTTAAAAAGTGTCAGCTGATTTGAGCTGATTCAAAACGTTACTCGGCGTTACTCGAATGGAAACGACACTAGTGCACATTGCACTCGATCCTCATCCTTAGTCGTAACCGACTGTCTACAGAGTTCTGTAAGGCAAGAACAGAGAGATTAATAATTTTAAAGACAAAGACAGAAGTCGATTTACCGACAGAGTTAGACTTTACATTTGTGCAGAATAAAATGTATTTTTTGCTCATTTTAGTGATCGACACATACTACTTTTTATAGCGATATCGCTGCAAGTGTAAACAAACAAACGATAGGTACATAGTCAAAGATCGCGCTAAATAGGACAATACTCTCCTAGTTCTAGACTACTTTACTTTTAATCAATGATATTATTACAACGTTTGATTGCTTTCACTATCGTTACGGCTGCTTAAGTTTGAGAAGAAAGAAATTTTTGGCGATCTCGAATTAATTTTTCACACTAACTCTTAGCTCCTCGCTATTGACTTGACTCGTATCAAGTCTCATAGAGAGATATGGACATGAAAGAAATTCATATTCTAGGAGGTCATGATATTAATAATAGTATCTGTTTCATAAATAGTGATAAATAGAATATTATCTGTTTATCTTGTATGTATCATGATACTAAAGCTTTTACACACTTAATAACATGGAACTGTTAGTAGCGGCATAGTTATCATGTACGGACTTGCGATACTGCAAAAAAAGAAAGATTATATTCTACATGTTCTTCGTCTCATTAGCCCAGTATTTTTACATTTTATACCTTGAATGTACTTAATTTAAGAAGCTGTGGTGATATTTTTGGTATCTCCTCTAATCTCGCGAAATCTCGGTTCCACTTGACCGCCTAATTGTATTAGAGTAGATTTTCTACTCTGTCGCGTATCGTTAATACTTATTGACATTCTTTTAAATTCTTCTTGTATCAAAATGACGGATTTATATTTTATAACGCTTTTTTTTCGACGTTCTGTATGCAAACTTGAATAAACACTATAGTTTATACAAAACCGGATTTACTAAGTTTAGAATAGAATGTCATTGCGTGCCATTGTATATTTTTCAACTGAAGATAGAGGAGAAGAGAGGGAGGGAGGGAGGGAGGGAGGGAGGGAGGGAGGGAGGGAGGGAGGGAGAGAGAGAGAGAGAGAGAGAGAGAGAGAGAGAGAGAGAGAGAGAGAGAGAGAGAGAGAGAGAGAGAGAGAGAGAGAGAGACAAAGTATACACAATATAATGCTCGTGTATATACACAACAGACGATACACGGCGTTTCGAACAGGTGCTACTTTTCAGGGATCAGCTCTTCTTTTCGCGACATTACGATTTGTTTGTAATATTGATAGTGATGATATTTTAAGCCAAGGAACACACTACACTCTACAGTTCTAGTGAATAATCGCTATCCACAAAATGTAATTTAAAATATAAGGAAAAAAGTTAGTATCTGAAAAATATAACATTTTTCATAAAAATAAGAACAGAAAAAGAAAAAAGGAACAACATTCGAGTGTACGCTTGTCTAATTCATTTCAGATATTCCCACTGTCGACTCCTTCGAGTAAACGATACGAATTATCGAGATTTTCTCTCGTGATATTCTCTAGTGTCGCTCCCAGTGTCTGTCTGCGCTGACGCTGTGCAACACTGCACAGATGTGTGTCAGTCAACTTCGACCAAAATTTCCGACAAAGGTTTCCGCTGCAAGTCGGGAACAGTGGCGTCTTTGGCTGGATAACCGACTGGCAGTAGTAAGACGAGCTTTTCGTAGGATGGACGTCCAAGAAGATTGCGTACAGCCGGCCCGCAATTTAACGGCGTGGATGTAAGCGTCACCAAACCGGCGTACTGCGTTCGTAAAAACGATCGTAAATGTAAAATTAATCGTAAGAGAGACCGTATCCCAACATTATCCTAGCATTCCTTGCAAAGGAAAGAGGAAAAAGAAGTGTTAAAATTACCTGTATAGCAGTGATAAGAATTCCACAGGCAATGGATACGCTCATTTCGTGATAATAATGTATCTTTCGCTGTCCATTCGGCAAAATACTGTAGGTTTGTTTGAACACGAGTATCAAGTACGGTGCGACAGTGAGATATTCCTTTATCCAGTTGGTCCTCAACGGCGACAAGTCGGTCGTCCACTTTATACCCATTCTCTTTTTGTAGTTGATTTCCTCCTCTTGCTCCACAATGCTCCTAATTTGCGACTTTACGGATGGGTTCGATACCACGACGAAGGTCCACGGTTCTGTGTGCGCACCACTCGGTGAGGTACCTAAGTGAAGAAGACGGAAGATTATGATGTAGGAAATTATTGTGCGCGCGCACAAATGAAAGAATAAGATATAAATTTGAAATAAGTAGCGCACTTTTGAGCCATTTGTTAGTCTCTGAAAGTATTCGTGGCGGCTTGCGACTCACTTGTCACCAAATAACAAGTGACTCGATCGACAGGATTGGAGTGTTGATGGTTTCAAATTTAAATGATGAAAGACCTTTCTTTCTCTCTTCTCTAACATGCGTAGAATTATTTTGCGAGATACGTATTTGTATCGTGAAGGAATTGAAGAAATTTTTCAGATTTTGCTTCTTTCGATTGCGCGATGTAATCAACAATTTTGTCGGGACACTTGAATTCAGCACTGAAAGGTTGCTTTTTAACGTATACGTCACTTAGATACCTGCGGCCTTTATAATCTCACGAATGATTTCCTTCGGAACTGGATCCGCGCTGAAGAACCTTAAGGTTCGCCTTGCAGCAGCTATTCGGTAAAATTCTGACGCTCGAGCTATCGATTCCTCTAAGGACGACTTGACGTAGTGATAAGGTATGTGCTTGAGATCTTCTGATAAGGCAGGCTCTGCGAGTATTATCTTTTTGTTGGTTCCTACAAAATGCCACAATATGAGAGATAATTGACACATTCTTCAAGTCAATCCATAACCTAATCCTAATTTAACATTTACTAGAACATAACAGCTGAGATTTTCAATTGTCACAGATGGAATCGAGACCCGAAGAGATTAAATACTGTCGCCGCTCTTGCGTCTTGAAAAAAAAATACGTTTAATAGCTCTGTCGCACTATCAATCGCTCATAAATATGCATATAAATTTGTAAATGTGCGCATACAGTCTGCTTCTCTCCCTCTCTCTCTCTCTCTCTCTCTCTCTCTCTCTCTCTCTCTCTCTCTCTCTCCCCTCCCCTCCCTCTCTCTCTCTCTCTCTCTCTCTCTCTCTCTCTCTCTCTCTTTCTCTCTCTCTCTCTCTCTTTCTCTCTCTGTATATACACTGGACAGCAAAACAGTTTCGACAGTTTTTTTTCTGGTGACATGGGTAATCCGTGAAGTTGTGAATTTGAAAATCACTTACGCAAGAGAGAGAGAGAGAGAGAGAGGGAGAGAGAGAGAGAGAGAGAGAGAGAGAGAGGGAGAGAGAGAGAGGGAGAGAGAGAGAGGGGGAGAGGGAGAGAGAGAGAGAGAGAGAGAGAGAGAGAGAGAGACTCGCGATCTTTTATTTTGCACAGTTTGGTTAATAAGCAAATTCTTAAATTCACAACTACATAGATTACTCATGTCACTAAAAAAAAGAAATTGTCAAAACCGTTTTGCTTTCCAGTGTACGTGTGCACAGAACACAAACATACAAGCATTGGCACTGTGACATTACTTTCACTCGGATCCATGGATTCGTCAGATTCCGCAAATATATGCGTCCCGCTTAGGGTTTCGTTTTTGATCGACCATTTGTAGAGCTCGACAAGCACAACATACGAAATGACGACGATTGATAAGTAATTAAAATACTTGGTTGCAAAAGGTAATATTTCGGAAATCATCTTTGCACGTAGATATACGACGAACGACGAGGGAAGGACGTTTTCACTCGTTACTGATTCGAACGTAGAGACGAACGCGAATTGATTGAGTCACACGAGAGTCACTAACATCACTTTCAGAAAGAATCTCGTCAACATGATATCATCATATCATTTAATGGCGTCCCCACGGCTTTCACAATTGCCGCAGATACGAAATAAACTCCTTATCTACGAAAGATACAAAATAAACTCCTTATCTAGAAAATTCTTTCTACGATTAGATTAGATGTTTCAAAACATTTCAGATACTCAGAGCTTATCGTACCTACGACACATTCGTCGTATTTTTTACGAAGCACACTGGAGATGAGAGAGAGAGAGAGAGGGAGAGAGAGGGGGAGGGGGAGAGAGAGAGAGAGAGAGAGAGAGAGAGAGAGAGAGAGAGAGATATTTCTTCTACTTCGATAAAATATCGTGATTTGATTGTTCAAGTGATGCGATACTATTAAATCTATACGAGTGAAGAAAGGCAATAATAAAGGGTTAGCTCTGTGATTTGCCTTTGGGAAATGTTGCGGAGCAAGATCTAGCAATAAGATGGTTTTCTGATCTGATTTCATTTATCGTTGCGTGAAATTATACAATGCAAAGTCGAGATCCGGTCAATTACATCGACGTGTCGTATGAACTGTGTAATGTTACGTCGTTAGGAGCACGCGCTTTGCTCAAGTCCAAGCTTTACAAAGTATATTATATCAATTTTCCAAATCTCTCTCTCTCTTCCTTTTCCCTAGAAAAGAAAACTCGCATCGCTCTGTTTTTGAGTATAAGCCGCGTTTCTTTCTGCCTCTTATCTTAGCGGGACGTCCTACGTTCTCGCTACGACGCGCGCTTCCTATTGACCTTGATTGTCAAGAAGGAAAAATCGATGTGTACGTACATTGCATTGAAGAGCATACGCCCGTGGGAGAAAGTTCATGAGTGATATTTCGATTGCGACAGCTCGTCACTGTTCGTTTTCGCGCGTTTGAACAGAGTTTGTACAGTTGGTTGATGAAAGCTATGCGACATCGACACATTATATGGGATACTACTTTGTACGTTAGGCACGAAAGAAGAGAAGAAACAACGATAAGAAATGAAAGAGGAGAAAGACGATTCGAGATCAGGGCCGTACAGGGCTTCGTTGCGGCGCGGCGCGGGCAGCGCTCGCTCGAATTTGCTCGCGCGCCTGTCGATGACGACGATCCAGTCACAGTCTTGGATGGTCTTTTCTCGATTTGTTCGAATAGTCTAATAGTCAGATTCGACTGGGACCGCGAGCAGGATCTCGGTACAGTTTCCCAGACAATTTTTGTCAAACGATAGGATGGTGGTTTAATCTCTCTCGGCGAGTTTCTCTCTCTCTCTCTCTCTCTCTTTCTCTCTCGGTACGGGTCTGAGCGGTGAATGCACGCAACGACCAATGAGTTGCGCGGTTGCGCGATGCGTAGTGCGCAGTAGCGAAAACGTGCCGTCGGTCCGGTAACACGGTTGCGTCCGTCCCGTCCGCATGATCCGGGATCCGGGCGCGGCGTATCGGGCGGCCTGAGCGATCATGTAAAACCGCGAGGTGAAGCGGTGCTGTTACTCTCCTCGCGGGAGACCGCGGCGGTCCTCGTGCGCGCGCGAGGGTCGCGTCGATACTCTCGCTCCGGTCGTCTCGCGTCGGTCCGCACACGCGCGAATCCTACACCTCTGCAGTTCCGCGCTGTCGTGCTTACAACGTACGTACGTACGCACGTACGTACGCACACACGCACGCACGGACGCACGCACACACTCACACACACACACACACGTGTGTATGTGCGCATATACGCGCAAGAGACATTTCTCGCGACGTGGTTAGGTCGTGCCTCGCGCACGGCATGCGTCCCGGTTGAGCTCGGGCGAGAGCTCGTTTCTCGGCAGTGACAGACAGTGAGACAGAGAGAGAGAGAGAGAGAGAGAGAGAGAGAGAGAGAGAGAGAGTGTGACACGCGATACGCGGAGCAAGAACGCGCGCGACGGTAAAACGCTGCTGACAATTCTGCGTCGCGAAGAGCGAGAGGGCATGGAGAACACCATGCAGCCGCTGCTTCCCCCGCCACCTCCGCCACCTCCCGAAGTGCCTGAGAGCAGCAGCACGGAGCAGACGGTCACTCACGTCTTGACATTCGGTGAGTCTCGTCTCTTGGGTCATTATTTTGTCCGAATCGGACAGAGAAAGAGACTCGAATCACACATTGTGCGAAATATAATCATTTGCAATTGTTACGGCATTATACACACACACATCATTTCGTTTCGCGACATTCTGCATATATGAACGTGGAATTCGTCGTCGTTATGCAACTCGGTAAGACGTGCCGCAGCGCCCACTCAACTTTTGCGGAATAGTACCCACCGACACTGTGACACGATATCGACGAGAGAGACAGTGTCAATGTCATATACGTGTGTTTGAGAACGGACTTTCTCGCGAGCAAGAGTCGAGAAGACGCTGATCCGCCATATGCAATGTGAGGAATAAGGAGAAGGAAAACGCGGAGACGAGAATGAAATTAGAGAACGTCTTGTCATCATTCCTATCATAACAGCTCCCGCTCCCGCACATTACATATGGGACGGATCGGTGCGGTACCAATGCCCTGCCCTGATCTGACTCTTTCAATCCATCGAGCAACTCTATGTTTAAACGGACAGCGGCGCCGTCGACGTTTCGACGCGACCTCCGGTCGCAAATCGGCGAATGACGCTCCGGTGCAAGCGATATGGTATGTTTCTTCTTCACTGAGCCCCGTTTCGCGCCCGTTTCCCGAGCACAATCTTATTCGCTTATTCGCGAGATGAGCGTGTTTTCTTCGTGTTACACGTGTCTCCCATCTTGCAATCGCATCTCTCTCTCTCTCTCTCTCTCTCTCTCGCGCGCGCGCGCGCGCGCATGCGCGCGTGCGGACATCGCGCACTTGTGTACTTGGCATGAGGCAGCAATATAAAACATATAAATCGGCGGCGGCTATTTCGCTGATAATGCGCGGCCCATCGTCTTTTCTTGTATTTATCTGCGGTTCTTCGAGTCTCAATAGAACAGAGACAGAATCGGGAATTGAGAATGTTTGAAGAATGAGGCGAGGGGGACAAACAAGTGTCCGATCTATACAGATTATTTTCATCGATGAGAGACGATCTATGCATCTTGAGTTTTTATCGTGGCGATTGTGGTAGAAATCGGCCACACAATTGAGAATGTGAAGTAGTCGCGGATCATCTTTCTCTCTCTCTCTCTCTCTCTCTCTCTCTCTCCTCTCTCTCTCTCTCTCTCTCTCTCTCTCTCTCTCTCTCTCTCTCTCTCTCTCTCTCTCTCTCTCTCTCTCTCTCTCTCTCTCTCTCTCTCTCTCTCTCTCTCTCTCTCTCTCTATCGCGCAACAACGTCGCGTAATGCTATGTCGCGAGAAGCGGCGCCACAACAAAACAATTCAAGACCCATCTATTTCTTGGACGCTTTTGTAAATATATACGTAAATATGACCTCCTCGGCGGACAACGGTTCGACGTGAACCGTTGTCCGCCGAGCCATTTTTTCAAGTTTGGAAATAAAAAAAGTCACTGGGGGCCAAATCCGGTGAATACGGTGGATATTGTAATAATTCGAACTTCAATTCCATAATTTTGGCCATCGAAACTGCGCAGGTGTACACCCGTGCATTGTCTTGATGGAAGAGGATCTTTTTCTTTTTCAAATGAGGACGTTTTTTCTTGATTTCTTCGCTCAACCGGTGCAATAACGCATAATACTCCGCATAATACTCTGCAGTTATTGTTTGTCCTTTTTCCAAGTAATCGGTGTAGATGATTCCGCGTACATCCCAAAAAAATCGTGGCCATCACCTTGCCGGCCGATTTCACCGTCTTCGCCTTCTTCGGAGCCCGTTCGTCTTCAAAAACTGTTTTGACCACTGTTTTGACTATTCCTTTGTCTCTGGAGTGTAGTGGTGTATCCATGTTTCGTCCACAGTTATGTATCGACGCAGAAACTCGTCGAAACAAGAATTGCGACGGAAAAGCGCCAAAACAGCCTCAGAGTCGACCACACGATTGCGTTTATTCTCCACTGAGAGCAAACGCGGCACCCATCTTGCCGAGATTTTTTTCACACCCAATTTTTCGTGCAAAATTGAAAACACTGTACCTTGCGATATGCCTGTGGCCTCAACTATTTCGTGCACTTTGATTCGTCGATCACTCAAAACCATATCGTCAACGATTTTGTCAATCATTTCGGAGGTAGTCACTTCCACTGGACGTCCCGAAAGATGTTCATCTTTTGTGGATGTACGGCCACGTTTAAACTCATTTACCCAATTGTAAACAGTTGCAAACACAGGAGCAGATGTGCCATGAACTTCATCTAACTCAGCTTTTATCTCTTTCGGTGTTAAGCCTTTTAAATATAAGTGTTTAATCACCACTCGAAACTCACTTTTTTCCATTTTTCTAAATAAAGAAAAGTTTGTTGCTTCAATCGGCAATAAAAATGAAACCATGTGATGGATATAACTGAGACTTTAACAGCTGTCTAATGAATAATGATGCTTACTAAAAACAAACCATTTTCGATACTACGAGCGCCATCTCTTGGATTTTCTAAGGACTTATTGAACGACAAAAACTCTACCCCCCCCTCCCCTCTCCACTTCCTGAACATGCACTGTGTCTACTATGTGCTGTCCCTTTTCGTGTCCATTGACTACAAATGCCCAAATCTGTTGTCCGACGAGAAATAATTAATCGCAAGTCGTCCAATTTCGTTTTTCGCTATGAAATATATTTACAAGCACCACATACACACATACACACACACACACACACACACACACACACACACAAGCGCGTACGTAAAATTGCACGCGTATATCTCGCATGACGGATAACCCCGTTTGGCCTCCGCGAGATATCTCTTCTTCCATGGTTACCGATGATAATGTTTCTTTTGCGAGCTTTTGAAAGCTTTATTCGACAAAAATGCAAACATTATGACAATTTGGACATTTTCTAATCCAATATAGGCTATTCTCGGTCGAGCACGCTACTGGTACAGGTCGACCAAAAAATTGGCGGGTAACAGACAGGTCTCTCGGGAATTTATAGGATGAAAAAAAGTCTACCACGTTATCTTTGAAGAAACCTTTGCCTTTCCTCAAAAGCCTCTATCATTGTTGGCTGTAACATTAGTAGCTGGTTAAATCGATCCTGCGAAAAGATTTTAAAAACCAATAGACAGTCGTGCTTTAAAATGTATACGCATGCAGGCGCGGAATCGACATTTAGAAAAGAAAATTGGTTCGTTGAAATCAATTGATCTGACGCGCGCGAATTTAGTATTAGTTAAGCATAATCTTTTCCTCGTTCCGTTTACAATTTTACAAGTATACTGTGATATTTCTAAATTCACTTTAACAACACTTGAAGCGTATGAAGCAAGTTCGCGTTGAGAAGCATCGGTCGCGCGTCGGAATAATTTACCTTTGAGTCTCTTGTCTAAATATTTCATGGGACTGAAGCGGCAATGTCGAGTATACGAGTAAAGTGATGATAAAATAGAGAGAGAGAGAGAGAGAGAGAGAGAGGGAGAAATGGATTGAGCGCGCTTTTCAAAAAAAGACATTCTCCGTTGAAATATACATATTGCAACGTTTAACGAGAGAGAAAGAGACAGAGAGAGAGAGAGAGAGAGAGAGAGAGAGAGAGAGAGAGAGAGAGAGAGAGAGAGAGAGAGAGAGAGAGAGAGAGAGAGAGAGAGAGAGAGAGAGAGAGGGAGGGGGGGAGGAGGGAGGAGAGGGAGAGAGAGAGAAGAGAGAAGAAGAGAGGAGAGAGAGAGAAGAGAGAGAGAGAGAGAGAGAGAGAGAGACGATCGAATCATCGTTGCGACCAAAGTTACAGTTAATACAGTATCGTGTACTTTTGTCCACGCATTTGTTTTCGCGTAGACTGTAGACGAGACGCGTCCGATATGGTAAATCCATCAAGTGAAGTCTCGCGCTGGATTGAATTTGCACCTTTGCAAGTGGCGGCTCAAAGTTGTGGCGGTTTTTAGCGTACGACCGATTGGATAATATTCGTACGAGAGACTTTCATCTTGGAATTCACGTTGATGAAACCTTTGGCTTTGGCGATGTCGTCTCGACTCGTCGAAAACTCGACGATGAACCCCGTTGACTTTGCGCTTTTTCCTCTCCCTCTCCAGTGAAAACAAGATTCGCGGATATATTTACAACAGGGCCCGACAGTGTAATCACCACAGTCATAATTTTCTCAGCCACAAATCCAATGTTATGGTGAAATTGTGGGCATTTTGGTTACGTTCAAGTGGAAATAGTCGACACGCGAATATGAAGCGTATATACTACGTACAATATACGTACAAACGCGAAATGTATGCTTGCCTCGTCGTTTTCATCCAACTTAACCGCAATCACATCAATGGCCTTAAAGTGACGAAACTTCAATACTGTAAAATCTTAAACTCTTCAACCGCGATTCACGAACTGTTGTACAGTTTTGGATTTGGGTAACAGATTCATCATACCATACTAAAGTTGGCACAACTTGAAATCATACGAGG